ACATGTAATATCAAATAAAATAAATAACAACTAAACTAAACAGAGTCTTCAACTCTCCAACTCCTTCCAAGCTAAGTCTTTGGAGGTAGCATATCACCTGAACCTGAAAATGATGTTCCCGTATAGGGTGAGCCACAGTCCAGTAGAAACATACTAAACCAAATATAAGCATTGAATAAAGCAATAGTATTCAATAGATGGTTAACACAACTATTCACTTTCCCAACATACAGTTTCATGACATTAATGTCGATGACACGTTTCATTTTCCATTATTTGTTCAACTTTCCATTTATATCAATATGGCTCAGAACCTGGCCAAACTATAACAGTGAACTAAATATCACATTAACATTTCTTCCAATATCAACAAAACAAATGAGACTAAGGCTCATACCAAAACACTTCCATACTTCCCGATTGATACACATTTTAGTGCTGTATCAACAACATGCAAAAACACTTCCATAAATCAATAAGCACACATATAGTGGTGCTAATGGAGTCCATCACCTATCTCCTCCCAAACAAAATTCGGTTTAGAGGTCCATCACCTATCTTCCCCTAAACCGTGGAGTACATCCCCTAACATATCAAAATCCCAAAACTTAGGACAAAACCTATAATATGGAGTAGGAAATCCCTACCTTGAAGTAAATAACCCGAATGGAGAACATGAAGGCCAAAAACCAAAGTGCTCCAAATCGCCAAACTTTCAGATTAAAATGAAGCCCTCAACCCACTCTACCTTTCTTACAAAGGACTTAGTATAGATTTACACTAGATGGAGATAAAAACCTAGAGAGAAGGTGTGTAGGGAGAGAGAGAAGATGGTTCTAGGGTTTTGAAATCAAAAGGGAGATGAAAAAGTGATATTGAAAGGTTGTTATTAAAGCCCATTAATTGGAAAATGAAAAGACAAGTTAAAATTAAATGAACACTAATTGAAATTAAATGAACACTAATTGAAATTAAATGAACACTAACTAGCATTAAATGAACACTAGTTAGAAATATGAATGGACAAGTTTGTCATAAAATCCCACTAATGGAATATGAATGGATCACTAATTGGAATTGAATGAACCATTATGAAAATTTAATAGACACTAGTTGGAATTAAATGGACATCAACCATTGGTTTCCAAACACAACCAACCTGTTTCAAACCTGCCCAACATATCCTATAACTCAAAAATAAGAAATTAAAGGACAACAACAACAATTATATAACAACGGGGTCTACGGAACATAGGTCCGGATACAACAACCGAATGGGAAAAGACCGGGGTCGCTATATGTAGAGATCTGCACATGCAACAGGGGTTCCTGCACATGCAGCACGAGGTTCCACTCATGCAGCCAGTGGGCCTCGCACATATAGCAGAGAAGTGATGATAGAGAGCACTAAAGTTGGAGTTCTAATGCCAACTCTAGTGATGTGGCAATACATAAAAAAATTAAAAAATGTAACATCACAAGCCAAAACATCAAATCACAAGGTAGGGCCCTTCTCTAGAACTCCCTCTAGAGCTCCTCATTTAGAGGTCTCAAACATTTTTGTATAGCAAAGTGTCCATTCTGTCTCGAATTTCACACCAAACACCCACAATTCTGATCTCTTTCTCTCTTTTCTCACATTCCCTCACTTCCTTCAAGACAAAAGGTTACACCAACAAATACTAGTTTTTGTTACTTTGAAATCTTCTATAAAGTCTCTAACCAACTCACTTCCACCCAATTTCTAAAAGATACTACCACAAGTTATAAAGCCACTCATTCACTCTAAGAAATTTTCTATGTCAACAATAGTCATCCCATAACAATTTCCAAAACTAACAAAATAACTAAAGTACTTCATACCAATTTATTCCCTGACGAGGGGTCTACTGAATAACTTCTTCTAGGGTAATATCACCACAAAACACGATGAAATAAAATTAAAATAAGGAATCATCCTCTATTAAGCAAAACTAAATACATTTTGATTAAGAAAACACTTACCACTTAAGGTCAAATACATCCAAATTAAACCCAATTAATAATAATATTAGATCAACATAACAATAGCACAAATTCTCACCACACTTATAGAAAAACGAAGGATCAATATAAGGGGTTCGTAACTCTTACACCAAGGATACAAAACAATCTTATAGCTAAAGGACAAGGGATACAAAATACCCTCTATTTCAATTGCATGAAAATCACCATCACTACACACACCGAACTTAACCCAAAATGCTCACGTATACTTCTTATATTCACAATTTCTAATCCATAAGTAAGAGTGACTATAAAAATTAACATCCATCACTCGCGATGGATCAAGCACTAATTTTCATGAAAATACTCAAATCATAGTCACATCAACCATCTCAAGGCACCTAATCATAATCTCTATCGAATCACAACATCCTCATATGATCATTTCAGTTTTTTTTTTTAAAGGCATTGGTTTGCTAACACAACTCCCGAGACATCAATTACACCATATCCCGAAACACTTATTGTACTTGGGTACAGTCAACAACTAACTCTGAGACAATGGACTCCACCAATCTTGAAGGCACTCAAAACTCGCCTATATATTCTAAAATATCAACTCACGAGTCAATGTTGTTACTATTAATAATCCCATCAAATGGCGTAACCCAAATCAAATTTAATCTCATTCCAATCTATCTCAAAATTATTTATCTCATTTTCCCTCTTAGGATTTGTAGCAAAATTATGAATAAAACAAACTCTCTAAGAAACACATCTCTTACTACACGATATAATTTCTATCATGCTAAGACTACGTTTATTCCCAAACACATACAAAATAATTGGCCTAGGGCCCATCACTAACCTCACAAGTAGTTCATCAAGCAGGTGAAACAATCCAACTATAACTAACTTCGTCTATCCCAAGAAAATTTAGAACTAGTTTTACGTGTTCTAATGTCAACAATCCAAAGCATATTATCTTAGATTACTTTAATCATCATTAAAGTCACAACCAAACCTTACTATTACAATAAGGTTAATCTCTAACTCATTCTACTTCTAAGATCTGCCATCTAGTCCATTTCCACAAACTTGATATAAAATTGAAAAATAATTAACTCCTCATAAAAACAAACCAGTTGCTACACAACACACTCCACTATTTTAAGGTCACATTCACACCCACGATCATACAAATCGGTTAACCTATGCTTCAATACTAATTCCATAACATCTTAACCAATTATCCCAGCCATATTACTCTAGCTTACACCTTCTTCATGGGGAAAATGTATCCTCCTATATGAGAACATCCCGGGCACCCTAAGTGCCTCTATTACGGCCTCTCCCGCTTTATGAAATCTTATATAAGAGACAAAATTTAGCTCAGAAGTAAGTACTCCATACTAGTTCTAACACGCTACATACGGATTAAACATAAACCTACACATGTATCTACATCACATAAGGCAAACCATATAAGCACATAGTCACATAGAGTACATACGAATCTTCTTTCTAGATAATGATTGTCCCATGACATTGCTAGAGTTCCAATTTGAAATAGCAATGATCAAGTGCTCTTCTGACTGGACTTCCAGGAACTCACGGACCTAATCAACATCTCAGAAATCAAACCCCATACCCATATAATCACATAAGTATGTTATCACATAGCACCTCATCATACAGATATCTCTATCGAGCGAGATAAACCCACTGTGGTACTAACCACTCCCCACGTACCCAAAGTATTCGAACCCGGTATGCTCTGATACCAAGTTGTCATGCCCCCAAAATAATACAATAAAGATAACTCATATGCGGAATAAATATGAGAAATAACATACTTTCATATATCAGAATTCACTGTTTAACAACCAGTTAAATGCCACGTAGGCTTACATGTTTCCAAGTCATTGCTTGGTTACACAAATTGAGTCTTGCTCATTACATCTTAAGCCTTTGGCTTTACAAATAACAAACATACACACATAAGGCATAATTAAGAAGATCTTGCTTCCCAAAACTCCATCCACGTTATTGCCTTGGAGGAAGCATCTCACTTGTACCGGAAAATGGTATTCCCATATAGGGTGTGCCAATAGGCCAGTAGAAATAATCTAACACAATTTATGAGGTTTAGCAAAGGTATAAATACCACGTACATAAACAATACCGATCCTGAAACATCCACAAGACTTGCATATCCATATGCCACTAAGACCAACCTTATCCCATTTTCCTTTAATTTCATTTCCAATTCATATATGCTACTTAATTCATGAGTTAAATTCGTTATCTTTCAACAATCAAAATGAGACAACAACTCAATGATTTTTCAATTATGCAAAACTTACATAAACACTTCAAACCTGCCATTTTATGGATATTTCGTCCAAAGGAATCGACACCCATTTATATATAAAATTTCGGGTCTTTCACCCAGGACACTCGGCCAACTTGCTTTAAATGGAGTCCATCCCCTTTCTCCTCCCAAACAAATATACATATGCAATGTATTTATAAACATAATCACATATGGAGTACATCCCCTTTCTCCTCCCAATAAACATACACGTACAATGTATCTATAACATGGTCATATTCAATGACACCAACAATGGATTAGCATTAAATCGCCTACTCCTCATGTAATTTCTACAACAATCTTAGCTATCCTTCACCGATAGCCCAATGCAAGTACTTATAAAGAGATGTTCAATATTAAAATAAATAGTTTATTCAAAACTTCCATAGGTGAGATAATACATATCCAATATCACCATTTATAATCACAACCTTCCAATTTCACGTTTTCAATGTTAATCCCAATTATTTATGCAAAATAATAATTTAACCAAAATTAGGGCAAAATCCCCTTTTCACCAAATATCAACCCAAACACCAAAATTAACTATTTTGGCACAACATGATCTTATATTCAAGCCTCATACTCGTTTACCTCATATTCATCAAAACCCCTCTTTTCATTTCACACCCAAATCCTAGATTTATTCAAACCATAACCAAATCTCATCATCTATACACAATAGCAAATAACTAAGCTCAAAATCATATTAGAGTGTAGAAAATCCCTACCTCAAGCTTGAAGAGGAAACAAACAAAAATCCAAATTTTCGATTTTGCCAGATTTTGATCTCCATCGATCAAAATGTTACTCTCACCAAACTCTTCACTTTGACATGAATGCCATCTCCTTTATTTGCATCCTAAATGCAGTTTCTTTGTGACAATTAACATCATTTGGTAAAGCAATGCACTCCCACCACCTTCTCTTGTATCCTGTTGATATCGATTTCCATGCCTCCAAAAGCAGAGAAAGATTACAGCTGTCAGTAGTGCACTTCCCTTCCTTTTCAAGATTAGCTGCTTTTGATTTCTTAGACTTTAAAATGGTGAACGAAACCACCTTGGCAGCTAGGAGGAAAATGTCATTTGTTTCATTAGCATGTTGTATAAATTTTAGAAGTGCCTCCTTATTTAATGATTTTGATCTTGCCCCCGTACAGAGTAGAGAATGAAACAAGTCCCAATTAGCCTCCTCACATAATTTGCTGCAGTAGTAAGATTCTCTACTTCCACCTGGACAAGAATTAACTAAAGGCAATGAAAACTGTTTTGAATAAGGCAAAACCAATTCACCATTCATCAATGATTCCATAATCTCTTTAGGAAGAGGAGTTCTATATTTAGGACTGCTGGAACTACATTCTTTAGAGCTTCTGTGATCTACTAATTTCCAAAAAAACAAATTTGCCCGCTCCTTTTTATTTAGTGGCCTCTTTCACACCACAACTTTGATCTTTGCAACATTACTGGCCTTGTCTTTCTCTGCAGCAAATTTTTTAAAAGGTTGTTATCAGGCACAGCATGAACTCTACCTGTTTGCTTATTATTTGCAACGTATGGCTCAGTGTCATCAAAGCTTCTGCCCAATAAAGCACCCAAGATTGCATCAACAACACAGTGAAGCAACACATCACCATCAGAGTAAGCTTCGCAGCCTCTATCGTGGGGGATATCGATGCCGCCGATGATGAGAGGGTATCTAGGTTCCAATCTGTGGAGATCGAAGCCATACCTGACTCGGAAAGGCAGAGAATTGGACGGAGTAGCAGCGGTCTTCTTCGGCTCAACTTCCACAACTGCACTTGCGCTTTCAGCCACCACTACCGCCGCCGCCGGTTGCGGCGGTGATCGGACAGAGAGAGACAATCGTTTGGCGATGGAGATGCGAGAAGAGAGAGAAGAAACGGTGTGTGGATTTGTAGAGTAGCTTTGTTTTGGAATTGAAGAGGCAAAATAGAGAGGAGTGGTGGTCGTCGCCATTGTTGCAAACAATTGCAGAGCCTCTGTGTGTAATGCTCATGAGTGATGAGGAAAAAAAAGGTTGCAACTAAGAAGAGAGAGAAGGAGATATATTAATATTCAAACCCCGCCTCCTACTCATCATACCCCACGAGAGAGAGACAAGAGAGTGCATTATTTTCTCTTTAATCATTTTCTTCCACCGAAAGTGAGCAACCCTCTCAAATAATTTTCCACCACAACATTGCTTTTTTTTATTTTTATTTTTATTTTATTTTATTTGGGTCATTACATATATTTTTGGATAGATGGATATGGATAAAAATTTAAAATATAATAACAACTACTTGTTATGTTTTAAATTTTTATACTATATGTGAATTGGATAATTATATAGGTTACATGACATATTTAATTGAACGATTATGTAATTTGGAATTGCTTGTGGATGAAAACTTATAATAGTTGATTTTAATTAAACACGTTAATTTTTGGCTGATTTATGTATTTTGTTGAATGTTCATGATTCAGTTGATTTTGTTGGTTTGAATGATTCTTTCAAATTACAAGTTATATTGAATGGTTTCGATTATCATATAGGCCAAATGGAATTCTTTTTATATTTTATTTATATTTTGACAAAGAAAAAGAATTGATTTGGTGACCAAAATTTGGTTTGGTTTTTCCTCTTTTGGCAACCAAGTGATTAGTCGGTGTTTCACCATTCACATTTGGCGACCAAAATATTGGTAGATGAAAGGGTACATTTGGCGACTAAATAATTAGTCGGTAAAATTATTAATTTTGGCAACCAAAATGTTTGGTCGCGAATAGGTCTATTGCCGACTAAAGTTTTAGTTGTGTAAACATTAATTTTGGCGACTAACAATTTTGGTCGGGAAATGTGACAATTGGCGACTAACATATTTAGTCAGGAAAATATCACTTTTGACGACTAAAGTTTTTTAGCTACAAAACAGATTAGTCGCGATAATTATATATTTAGCGATCAAAAATTTAGTTGGCAAATAGAATTTTTTCCCGACTAAAAAATTTTTTAGTCGCTAATTACTTTCCGCGACCCTCAATTGGCGACCAAAATGGCGTCCAAAAAAATTAATCACGGATAACTTTTGCGACTGAAAATGGACTTTTGTCGACTAAATTTTTAATCGGCAAAAGTGCGAATTCTTGTAGTGTAGACAAATAGATCCAATGTTCAAATCTCACTGTGTACCATATAACTAAAAATATTGGCATGTGTTTCAATTTAAATTTTTAGATGAATTAGAAAGAGGTATATATATAAACATGAAACAAATGAAGACGAAATGATATGGCAATGGATGATTGGACTTTGATTCTTTCCATTCTATATATATAATGAAGAGATTATATATTTAATGTTTATAAAATAAGAATATAAATTTATAATTATTTTAAATTAAAAATGATAATTATACTCACCATTAGATGATATAATGGAATTTATTCATTATAAATATGTAATGAAAATGATCACAATCCTTTATATAACATGTAACCTTACCTCTGGCTGCAACTTCTACTTCTTCTTTTTCACTATCAGATGAAGCCATGTGCACTTGAGTGGATGTACTTTCTGATAGAAAACTTTGCGGAACATAAACTAAAAACATTAAGGATTCAATTCCATACATGAAAACTATATGAATTTCTAATATACAAAATAAGTGAATACATACCTTGATCCATGATAGTATGAAATCCTCTTTTAAGAAAAAGAAATCTTGAATGGAAGATCTTGATCTTTAAGTTCTTGACTTGTCTAAGATCTTCAAACCACTTCTCTCACTCTAGGCGATGGGAGCCTTCTTGTGGTGACAACTTAAGTTTTTGATGGAGAGTATGGTTTGGGACCTTACACTATTTATACTAATATTCTTCCCATCAAAGAACCATTCATTCAATGAACTTCATTAAATAGATTAATGTATCTTATACATTCATGATACATAATGCATCTTTTATATTTAATGAATTCATTAGATAAGACTAATGTATCTTACATATTCATAATAGATACATAATGCATCTCTAAGATTCATTCATAATGAATTCATCACATTCAATGTGCATTAGCATTAGTCTTCTATACATTGTATATATATAGGTGCATTCATCAATAATTAGTCACCATCTAATTGATGTACATGTATCTTACTTAATGAGATGAATCTAGTATAATTATGCATAAGCCACATTAAGCCATATTTAGGAAAAATTCTTACAATAACCTCCTTGTGAATTCATCCTTATATATTGAAAAGAAAACACAAATAGAATTCAAACAAGAGCTAACTATTTATAACAATTTTACGTGCATCATATGCAATAATTCTACTTACTAAAAAAAATATTTCATATCATGGTCAATTTGCTTTCATAGAGTACTAAAAATAATGAGACTTCTACATCTTAAAGCGGAAAAGTGGATTTCTTTCCATATTATTAATCTGTATAATAACAGGATAAAATGCGCCAAAGAAGAACGAATAAATTTATGCAATTTTTCTACTAATTAGTTTCATAAATACTGTCTTAAAAATTGTTTGAATTGTCTTCCTCTGAACCCTTGACTTTTATAACTTGAAGTTGATTGGAAGGAACAAAGATAGAAAAAGCTAGTGCTGGGCATGTATGGTGTAACTGCTTTCATGTGTTCCTTCTTTTTTTGCAGCCATTGCTGTTATATGTTAAGAAACTAGTGCTTTGAGTTATAACTAATATGAATAAGCATTGTTTTATCTTATTATAATTTGTTTGATTCCGATATATATTCCTTCCCACAAGACCATCAACAAAATTTCATAGGAAAATGTTTGGTAGCTCAAATTTTTGTGGCTCAAATGGCTCAAATCTGTCAAAACGACGTCGTTTTACACTCAAAATCTGTCAAATTTATCACGAACATAATACACTCATTTCAAATCTAAGCATGATAAACTTTCTACTAAGCCCATGCGCGCAACATGTTCTTAAAAGAGCTTAGGTGTGAGACCTTTAGTTAAAGGATCTGCTAACATGAGTGTAGTACCAATATGAGATATGGAAACAGTCTGATTCAGAACCCTTTCTTTAACAACTTTCCAATGATCAAGTCCGGGATTGCTTACCAACTACAAATGCTATGTCAGGACGTGTACAAACTTGAGCATACATAATGCTCCCAACTGCAGAGGCATAAGGAATTTCTTTCATTTGTTCCCTTTCTAAATTATTTTTGGGACACTGAAATTCACTAAATTTATCACCCTTAACTATAGGGGCAACACTACTTGAACAGTTCTGCATGTTGTACTTTTTAAGAACCTTTTCGATATAGGCTCTTTGGGACAATCCTAAAATACCACGAGACCTATCTCGGTGAATTTCTATCCCAATGACAAAAGAGGCTTCACCAAGATCTTTCATTTCAAAATTTCTCGTAAGGAATTTCTTTGTCTCATGTATCATTCCCAAATTATTGCTAGCAAGCAATATATCATCAACATACAAAACTATAATGCAGATATTGCTTCCACTGATTTTAAGGTAGACACATTGATCAACCACATTATCCTTAAAATCAAATTTGGTGAGAACTTCATGAAATTTAAGATACCATTGTCGAGATGCCTGCTTTAGACCATATATGGACTTCTTAAGCCTACAAACCATATTTTCCTTACTTTCATCCTGAAAACCTTCAGGTTGGTCCATGTAGACCACTTCATGCAAGTCACCATTCAAAAAGGCTGTTTTAACGTCCATTTGATGTAACTCTAAATCATAATGAGCTACTAAAGCCATGACTATTCTCAAGGAATCTTTATTAGAAACAGGAGAATAAGTTTCCTTATAGTCTATCCCTTCTTTTTGAGTGTATCCTTTAGCAACTAATCTGGCCTTGTAGCGTTCGACATTGCCTTTAGGATCACGCTTGGTTTTAAAAACCCATTTGCATCCAACAGTTTTGGTTCCCTGAGGCAATTCTACAAGATCCCAGACATTGTTGTCTTTCATGGATTTTAACTCATCTTTCATGGCATTTAACCATTGAGTTGCATTTCCATTTTTCATGGCTTGGGCATAAGAAACAGGATCATTCTCCAAGCCTATATCACACTCATTTAGGTAAACCTCATAGTCATCTGATATGGCAGGTGTCTTTTCTCTTTGTGATCTGCGTAAAGGTTGTTCTGCAACTGGGACAACTTCTTTTTCAATGTGAGAAATCTCTTGTGTACCAATAGGTTCCATAATAGGTTCAGGCACTTCATTTTCTTGGATAAGCGTGGAAGGCGTAAAAGCACGATTTTCCTCCAAAGAAATATTTTTGAGATTCATACTCCCACTAATGGCCCCGTTTGGTAAAGCTATAGGAAAGTGATTATAGCTTATAGCTTAACAGCTTATAGCTTATAGCTGTGAACATAAACTGATTTTTGACTTATAAATTAAGCTTCTCCTCCCCCACTCAAAGAATAA